CCTGATTTGTGATAAAATATATTCAGTCCTCCTCCGCCAAAACCACAAATCAGCGTCGGACCAAATCTTCGCGCTAAACGACGAGGGTCGCCGAGCCCACAAATGCAAATCTCGCGACTGCCCCGCTGGCACAAATTATCCGCGAGATTAGTCACACCGATTGCACACATAACGCTGCCGCGCTGAAAATTAATTGTTACAGAGTGCGGCGGCCACGTACACTTTAAAACGCACACGGCAGCGCTGAGAGTTCCGGAATGAGCGACGCCCTCAAGTATAGTGTGGAGCTTGTCTTTATCATGATCTCAACGTCCATGACACAATCTCGTTTGAAAGCTCCACCGCTGACTTTATAAAACCGCACGGCTCGCAGAAATAAAACTGCAAATGAATTTGCACGATTATTTATTTCTAGAAGAGAGAAGGAAATTTCCATTGTGGGTCATGTGTGAGCTGAGTATTTAAATGTAAAGGAAAATCCGGGAAAAAGTATAATATGAAAAGGACAAATGGTCACAACCGAGTAAGAACAACAAGCATCTTATTTGTTAATTAATTTAGTTGTTTCGTATATCTTTGATAAATTTTTTTTATCCACAATATAATTTACTTTTAAAATTAATTTCAACAATAAATAAACATTTTTATAAATATTATTATTATTTTTCATATTTATTTTCATTTTCTACTTGCTGCACGTCAATAAAAAAGATTAAAAAGTTCTATTTTGTTATAATAAAATAAAATTAGTTGTTTTCTGCTTAATGTGCACACTAGTGAAATCAAAATTCCATCTCTGGATCAAATCGGTTATCACCATGATTGTTACGTTTATTTTTGACGCATTAAAAAATTCAGAACTCCCCATTATTTGTTTCATGAATAAAAAATAAGATATGGCACGGAGCAAATCTCTCGCTTTACACAGCAGCTGTTTTTCCTCTCCGGTAAAAAAAGATGCGAAAAATGTTTACGACCTGCGCGCGTTCCTTGGCTGATTTATTTATCAAGGAGCAGGATTATGATTTAATTTATGGCCGTGCTAAACTGTGTGATCCATATTGAGCACCTACACGTTGGGCAACCTCCCTTTATCTCTGTGGCTCGACCTGAAAAAAGAACGCATTAACTTCCAGCCTGCTTTTGCATAACACCGAAGAGAACTGTGTTGACGATGCACGCCTTACGAATGCAAACAACGCGCCGCGGACCTTGTCCTGTCAAAATTCAAAATGGATTGGTCTGATCACTCTCGGGTCAGAGTGATTTTTTACTCATTAGGGCAGCAGCCAGACCTTGGTGCGCTCCGGGTCTTTTGAATACACAAATTTAATTAGTGGTTGTGTTGTTTTGCGCAGGTTTTGCAACGGGGATTTACAGATTTAACTGTAATTTTCGCCTTCTACGCTTTTTCGTCGTTCTTTTTTTCAAAATTATTCAGATTTGATTGTAAAAAGTCAAAATGTTTCGATTTATCAAATCAAATAATTCAATATATCTAAGACCAGCCTTAATTTAGGTAATTGATGTAGATAATGAATTATAATAACATTACAGTGTTTATTAAATGGAATGGGGAACGGAACATCTATTTTTCCTTATAAACAAATTTAATACAATTTAGGCAGGTTTCAATTTGATTAAAAAGTGTGCTTAGAGTGGAAATAAATATTTTTTTTACAGATCGATACAAATTTGTTCAACAGATTGAGATTACCAATATATAATGAGCTTTCAAATAAGTTGAAGTGAAAATTAAAGATCAAATGTTTTATTTAAGAAAAAAAAATAATTAAAAATATTTTTTTTACTAAAAAATAAAATATAAAAGTAAATAGTCATTGAATACATATAAGTTTGTTTAAAACTATTTAACTGTAAAATTAATTTATATTTCTTTTCTCAATATTTGTATTGTCATTTATTTCAATTAAAAATTTTTGAAGATTTTTCCTAAACATTTTTCTGGCGTTAAAGTCTCCCTCGCAGCTGATCTGTTCATGCTCTGATTTAAGGAGAGGTCATGCTTGAAAATACGGTCCTGTATTTTGCACGACTGATCAAATTTGTTACACAAATCTAATTACGGGCGCGAAATAAATTCCAGGGATTACCAGCGTCTGTTTACCAGGTGAGAGGTGTTGTTACCAACGCCTGAGTTACCGATTTGCACCTTAATTATCCATTTATATATGATCGGCCCGAATTGTATTATCAAGCATGCAGCTATTTTGGCTAAAAGCGTTTTTACATGCCTGCACCCAAGGCACAAACATTTTATTAAATCGTGCGCGAGCAGGTCGTAGACATTGACCTCGCATTTTTCCTCGACTGCATGCGTTTGAAAATATTTTTATTGCAGATAGATATCCTGAATGTAAATGAACCAGACGCGATTTGAAATTTTTTTGAAGAAAAACGTGCATCTGAAATACAGCACTAGGTGGAGAGAAATGAGGTTTTCAGCCAAAAAATCTGGTCGTTGGCACACAAAAAATTCACTGGCGTCGGGTTTCAAAATAAATTAAAATTTGCATTTTCTGGCTTCGCGACGGCTCATTTCGGCTTTCGTGGTTAATTTTATGCATTAATTGCCAATCAGAGCGGGCGCTTTTTGACATTCGCTTGCCTTGTTTCGTGCCCCGGGGTCACGGTTCAGGCGGGAGAAAAAGTTGAGCGTGTCGTTGTTTAATGCGATATACACCCAACGAAATTTCCTCGCGCTGACCTCAACCTGCCTTTGATGTGATCTTTGAGAATTTTCACCGTGATGAGTTCATCGAAAAGAAATTTGATACTTTTAACAAGTTATTTTAATTTGTATACATTCAAATCAATTCTTTTGAAAGCCTGAAATTATAAATAATTTTTTTCAAGGCTGAGAAAAAATTTGGCCGACAAAAGAAACTCGTTTTTAATCCCAATGACAGCCAACTGAGTCAGTTTTGATCAATTTTAAGCTCTATTTTAATGAAACTTATCTGATAGTAGTTTTTATTTTGTCTCCAAAGTTTAATTTAATCCAAAGTTCTAGATAAGTTTAATATAAATAAAGAGACCCAATGTCAGTTAGTTCAAAATCCAGCAATTAGCCATTCATGCGCGTGTCAACGTCACCTCTCTTGGCCTAAAATTTATTATGTCGCAAATTTAAGCTAATTTGCATCGCCGAAGCGGCAGTTTACTTTTTGTCGTCACCGGTAGTAGGCGAGAGATCCGCCTGCAGCTTCTCTTCTTACTCCCTTTCATTGTAGGTGGATCCATGTCATATAATTAATTGCCCCACTTCTTCGCGGAATTACTTACTTAGATATTCTTCGCCGCGCGCTGCGGAACAAAAAATAAATAATAAGAGCGCCCAGCGCAGAAACCAACGGCAGAATAAAAAGACCAGAAAGAGCGCGTGCTGCACAAAAAAGCTATAGTACGAGAGCGAAGTAGGCAACGCCCTGCATAAAATAATAATCAACTGCTACTCTCGCATCCTACAACGAGCGAGCGAGCAAAAAACAAAAACTCTGCGCGTCGATCGATCTGGAATATTTCTCTCTTGCGACACACGAGAGACGGACAAAGAAAGCACGCAATTAGGGGATACATTTTTTTTCTCGGCAACCTCCGACCCCGATTGTGAAAAGCCTCACTTCTTCTATATGTCGCATGGAAATTTATAGTTTTTTACTTTTGCTTCGATATTATTTATCATTTTCGCCCGGCTCTCTCTTCTCTATCTGCGGCGCGAGAGAAAATAAAGTCGGACGTGGGCGTCAACTCAGGCTCTCTTTCTTTCTTTCCAAAGGGAATCCCTAGAGTAAAAGAAAGAAAGAAGGGGTCACGTGGTTTGAGAATCAGGTACCGTAAGTGAAGAAGTATGCAAGTAACAAGAGCAGCCAAGTGAGCTGCACCTTGGTGGATTATTTTGGGCGCAGGTGCTCCGGAGAGCTGCTGGAAGATTTCCAACTATTAATTAACTGGAAACCGCGGCAGCGAACGCGCGCTTAAATCAAAATTACTTGCAACTTGGCGTGACCAACTTGCGCAATTGCGATCGAAAAGCCTCGCCTCGGGGATACATAATTTTTCAAATATGATTTCAGTCAAAAGATGAGCTACTTTTTAAGATTTGATAAATAATGTAGTTTCTGTTTAAATTTATTAGTTCAAATCCGGCTGCCTTGTGTTTTTTCCACGTGTACTGGAATAAACGGTGAATTTCTGGATTTTGTTATTCATATCGGTTTGTTTTGACCCTCTCGCAAAGCAAACATGTATTTTGACACGCTAAGCAAACATCATGTTGGCTAAAAGTAAAATTAACACATCATGCTGACACTGGCCCGTGTTTATACCTGGTGAGAGTTTCTAATAATTTCTGCGGAGATAAATGATGCTTTTGTTTGTGCAAAAAAAGTTGATTGCGGAAATTCTTGGTAACCTCCTCTCACGTCAAAACAAAAGTGCAATAACTATTTGTACATTCATGTTTCTTTAATGCCAAATACGACAAGCGTTAACCCCTAAAATTATAATAATCTTGATGAAAGGATTGTACTGATGATTTCATTTATTTTTATTAATTGCTTTAAATTAAATAATTATTTAAAAATTCTGAATCAAAAATTTCATTGCCACCTTATGAAATCTTATTAACCTGATGATGCCTCTCTTAAAAAAAAAATAATAATATAAATAAACAAGAAACTTGTTACAAAAACGAGTTTAACGGTGGCTGGCGATAATTATGTTTTTTATTTTGGAAATTTAAGCAAAATTTTTACTGTTTTGAACAACAATTTTTTCTTTACCAAAATCTTTTGAAAACTTTAGTGCAACAATTAGACAAATAAGCAAGAATACTTATTATTTAAAATTATATTATTTACATCTAAGAAATTTAGTAAAAATTATGTAATTAATATAAAATTTTGGAAGCTTTTTGAATTATTTTGAACTTTTATGACACAACATCATATTGATCAATAAATTCTACATTGTTTCAGGTGCTGAGGTATGTGTGGATGTTACATAACAAGTAGTGAAAACATTTTTACGCCTCCAGGGTGAGTTTTCCTTCCAAATTTAGACCATAAACACAATAAATGCGCAGGCCATATCATAACACTTAACGCCTCTGATAAATTTCTCTCCTTCGCCATAGCTTTGGACGAGATTTTGAGCAAAAAATGCAGAAAAACTGCAACGCCACGAGAGTGTGCCTTGGCAAATAACAATAATTAAATAAATTTTCATTCTCAGACCGGCAGAGGAAGTGAATTTGTGTGCGAAAGCAGCTCTCAATGCCGCGATTAGTCTCTCGTGCGCACTCGATTTATTATTAAGGATAAACATAATACACAGTTAGCGTGATTCGCCGGACTCAGGCATATTATTTACTCTGTTTGTGCAGCGAATTCCTGCCGCGTTCATGACGGCTAATAATACACACACGCCGTCGTCTCGTTACAGTTCCCAGCCGCCGTGACTGATTGGTGATTAAAAGCATGACCGACCAGACCGAGTAACGAACTTGCAGTCAAATGAACTCCCACAGCAAAATTTAATGCTCAAACCTCAAGCTAGGGCAGTGAAAAAGAGATTAGGTCAAGTATTAATTGTGTGAAAATTTATAATTTGACCTGGCGTTCATCTTTTTGGCCAAGATTATTTTTAGTTTGGAAGGAAAAGAAACATTTTGCTTCGTATTTTTCTTATTTAAAAGCTTATTGTTAGTTTCCCGGGATATCCCGCTTAAACTCTTTTGCAAATCAAAAATTGAATTAGCCTAACGCAGAAAATTTAGCACACATAAAATTAGAACATCAAATATTTTAATTAATGTTTTTAGGTTTAAAACGGTTTATGAGAATGTATGTATGTGAAACCAGGCAACCTTAAAATTAATAATTGGAAGTTTTATAAAAAAACATATATTGTTTTAACTAAATAATATTATTTTTAAATTTTCACATCGCAATATAATTTTTAGTTTTAAAAGAATCTTTAATTATTTATTCTTTTTAATAAACATTATTAAAATAATCTTTAAGTATTTATTCTTTTTAATAACCATTATTTTGTTTATTTGCTTTTGTTAACAAGACACTTAAATAGATATGTTTATTAAAATTTTATTAGAATTATTCTTCTATTTTATTTTAAATATTACCTTATCATTCAGTAATAACAAGTAATAAATCTTAACATTTAATTGGTATAGTGCTAAGTTCTCTCTGTCTGTTCTGGTGATTTATAAGTTGTACTTTATTCTTCGTTGATTAAGCGAAACTCAAAATTTATGTTGACAAATAATGAGCATAATTTAAATTTTTTTCAATTATCAGCATTAATTTGTTTTTCAAAATATGAAATGGAAACAATGTATTTGCAACAATGTGGACAAATAAACAACAACAACAATAATAATAATATAATGAATTATAAAAATTTCCTTTGACACTGCCCTAGAAATTTACAAAAATCAAGAGTGAGCTGTGCCTGTGCGCAATTGAAGCGTCGCAAATGGTGCAAAGAAACAAAGTAAGTTTCACAATTATTGCTGTGTTAGAAGGATGCACATTGTGTCTCATAATTTAATGCGCAGACACCAAACAGTGCTGTGTGTATCGCGGCGCGCCGGGCAATAAATCCAATATATCGTGAACCGAGTCTCTGTTTCTTTCTCGGCCGCACGCCGCACACAGCATGAATAACAATTTGCCTATTACACGATTGCGCTGCAACACTTCACCGACCTTTCCTCTCTCTGAAAAATATTAATGGATGCAGATTGCATCTCAATCTGTCCGACTCTCGTTTCTTTCTTTCCGTTCAATTTCGCTGACAAAATGAGGTTAGCTGAAAAATGATGCTTTTCAAAGGCAGCGCACCTGACGAGCCGATCAGATATGCAAATATTGACTTTTGCATTTTCTATTCCTCTAATTTATGGCTGCGTTGTATATTTTTGAAGAGATTATCGTGCTCGAGAGCTGTTGAAAGACTCGTTTTGCACAGATGGGAATTGTTGCGGAATTGCGTCCTCCGGCCACGGAGACAATTTATTATTAGCCTCAAGAGAAGGAATTCCGAACGGCCTTCTTGAGAGAATTGCGAAATTTAGGCGGATGAAATTACTTTCAGAGTAATTCCAATGCCACAAAAAAGCTGAAACTATAAATCCCGTAATTAATTTTTAATATTAAAAAGCTCTTTTATTACTTCATTAATCACAAAGGGGGAAGAGATAAAAGCAAATTACAGTTGCTAAGCCACTCTTTGAACATAAAGTAACAAGATTGTCGTTGAAACGACCAATTTGTCATTTTAATTTGGCACCGGCCCAAGTGTGACCTTCCGATCACACCTGCCGCCGCGCGACACAATGTGCAAAAAATTACGGTAACAACAATACATACAAGTCTTTGCAGTTTTAGTATATTGACTAAATATATTCCTGTTAGGTTGTTCTCTGGGATGTTAAGGCCGCCGTTTGGTCGAGTGACTCACAGTCAGATGCCGGAACTGCAAGGCTGAATTTAAGAAGCCGCGGTGACGTCTGAGGGAAAAAATAAATTGCGAGCCAAGCAAAGCATGCGGCTCCAATATAAATTGAATCGTGACGCGAAATCCAACAAGGCAGCACGCAGCTTAATTGTGCGCGCAGGTTGATTTCAAAAAATATTTATTTTCCTCCGTCCTCCAATTTTCTGATTTTAAGAAATAAATTATTTAAATTTAATGTGATTTTTCTTATTTTTAAAATAAATTCATGATTTAATAATCCTATTGAGATTTTTTTTTTATACAGAGGGGGAAAAAATTAAATTGCAGTTATTATTCCAATTAACATGACAGTTTTGAAATTAGACACAAAAATATTTGGATAATTACAGTTTTAACACATTTTTTTTTGCATCAATTTAATTGTAAACTATGCTATTTAAAATTGCTGTAAATTTCGTATAATAGACCAATTTATTTTCCCTGAAATAATGAGAACTAGTTTTTAAAAAACGAATTTTCACAAATTCTACTTCTCCCGTAACCTCCCAAGGCGTTTTGCATGCTTGGTAGGGATTAATCTTCCAAAAGAGGCAATTAGTGTCACACTAATTAGCCAGTTAGATCAAAGTGGATTAGCTGCTGCAGGAGAAACTTTGAGTGCCGCGATGAGAAAAACTGCAATTTCGGTTGGCAAAAATCGAGGTTCTCACGTCCTTGGTTCGGATCTCGCGCTAGCTCAAAGCTTAATTTGTGATTGCTGTGTACTTATTGTTATTATTAATGCCGCTCATTGTGTATGTATGTGACCTCGATCGGTGCGAGTGATAAAAATTCGCTGACGATTGGCAACGCGCGGCCGAAAAGTCTCTTTCGTTCCGCTGATTATTTTTCAATGCTTCGACCTTTGCTGCTGTTCCGAGCGAGCAAATGAAGAATAAGTATAGACCTTACAGTGAAACAAAGTAAGCTGCTATTAAAATGTTAGACCGAGCCGTGACTGATATAAATTATGCAGAAATATGCAAGTATGCAACGCTTTAATGTGAAGTTGAAGGTTTTTGCAAAAATCTTTTGATAGGGAAACTGAAAATGGGCGAAAATTCTAAAATATTGTAATCTTCTTATTGATTAATCTCTTCCTGCATTTAATGTAAAATTCGTAGAATTATCAAGTCGTAAGTCATTGATAATCCAAGTTTAATTAAATATTAAAAAATAATTGATTAATTTAATAAAAGGCACTGATGCATTCTTGATTAGAACCTGCCAATTTTTATTTGAAAATTATTTAAAGCAATTTCTTAAAAGGAAGTTTTATTTAATTTATTTTTTATAATTATTTTTTAACAAAAATTACTAAAATTGAAGCACCAATTAAAATTTCATAAAAAATTAGAAACTTTCAAATGTAACGAAAATTAATTTATTATATTTTTAATACAAAAAGTATGTTAAAATATAAAAAAAATGTTTTTAATTTAAATTTATTTACAATTTTTAAATATAATATATACATAAATTAAAAATATAAGGCCAACATTAAGTTCTGCCCGTTTATCTTAAAAGGAAAATACACTTGTTGAACTAAAACTTGCACAATGAGTGACAGAGAAAAATATCTCACTAAGAATCCTGTTTCTAATTGGATTCCTCGCGAATTCCACGTGTTCGCGAGGAATTTTGATAGAAATAAATTGCACGTGCCCGATAATACGCGTATCAAAAGAAAGCGGTCCGTCCACTCGGCACAATAACAGCATCTCTTCATTCCTCATTAGCAAAGAATTTTTTACGCAGCCAATTAGCGTTTACCATAAGAATAAAAGGAGCCGGTCTTGCTTGCTCGCTTTGCGCGCGCGAGAGGAACAAAACTAGTCGCGCAGCATCGCCGACCTAAATTTGAGATTTCATACCTAAACACAGCTCGACTCGAGAGATGCGAGCGATGACGAAATATAATTGACAAAAAGAGCAGCGAAATTGGCCGAGAGTGATTTGAACGCACGAATTTTTCATCAGCAGAGTACCAAATAAAACTAGAGAATTTACCAAGCTTTAAAATGTGCTTGGAATAATTAATTGTCGTTGCAAAACATGGACTGTAGATTAAAAACTACTTTTCAGTAGATTTACAAATCCTTTTTGGCAAAAGCAAGTTTAATTTTTTCCTTATAACCGTGAGCCAGAAAAAAAAACTCAATTCATATTTCCAGAGTTTAAATTATTATAAATGCTTGAAATTGCGGAGAGAGTGCTTGATTGTAATATCAAACTCATTTCCCGGCCAGTCATGCTCTTTTCATTCAATTTCCAGTCAGAATGACTTGATCTCCGTCGAGAAGGAAAACAACAACAGATGCGAAATTACACTCCCGTGCGCTCATTATTTATTACTTTCGTTTTCTGGCCTCTCAGTCATCCGTCCGTCCCAGGCACGCATCTCGCTATTATCATCTGGTAATCGCAGTCTTGTGGTTGGTCTCTCTGCGCGCCGTGCCCCCGGGCCAGCCAGAGAAAAAAAAACACTCACATATATTTATTTTCGCAGACGTGTAGC